GTGTTCTATGATTAAGCATAGACACTCTAAGGCTATGTCTACACTGACCCTCTTGAGCAAAAAAATATGCAAATGAGGCAAAGTGTGGAATATCGCCATGCCTCGTTTCCATAATTAATTAGGCCCCGTTTTTGCACAAGAGGCTGAAAAAATGTGGAAGAACGGCTCTTGCATAAGAGGGGGTTTTGCACAAAAAGGAGCTGTATAAATGGCTCCTTTTTGTGCAAAAGCCTCTGGCGCAAAAATGGAGCCTAACTGATTATGCAAATGAGGTGAGGCGATTTGCCTCATTTGCTTATTTTTTTCCGCAAGAGGGTCAGTGTAGACATAGCCCCTGGCTACATCTATTGGAAGAAGCTTTTCAGGAAGAGATCTTCTGGAAAAACTTATTTCGAAAGAGAGCATCCACACGGCAAAAGTGTATCGAAAAAACAATCTGCTTTTTCAAAAGATAGCGTGCACATTTATTGGATGCTATGTCGCAATTAAGTTGTGATTACTATGGAGGAGTGGCCATTAAGCGACCTGTGTTTTTTACTGGAGGCCTCTTCTTTTGAAAAAAACCCTCTTCCCCATCCACATATTCCTTTTTCCGAAAGAGCTCTTTTGGAAAAAGTTGTCTTCCTCGTAGACAGAGGTTTACCTCTATCAGTGTGGACATAAATTGCAGTGTGGATGCAAGTTCAGTTTTTCCAGGAAAACTCTGCATTGTAGACATACCCTGATTGACAATATTTTTTTTCTATTTTTTCCTTCTCTTTCCCTCCAGCCCCCTCTCTTTGGGTATGTCTCCACTATAGCGCTAATTCGAACTAACTTAGTTCAAATTATTTAATTCGAACTAAGCTAATTCGAACTAGTGCATCTAGACCTACAAACTAGTTCGAATTAGCGTTTTGCTAATTCGAACTAGCATGTTCACATTGAGTGGACCTTGAACCGGGGTTAAGGCTGGCCGGAAGCAGTGCCGGCAGGGCATCAGGTTAGGACTTAGAGTGTGGAGCTGCTGCCTCAGGCTAGCCGAGGGCTGTGCTTAAAGGGACCCAACCCCCACGCCGGACAGACAGTTCTCAGGGTTTCCCCGCTGGCAAAGCAGTCCTGGCTTGGAGTGCCCTGAGTGCCCACACTCGGCACATCACAGCACTCGGCCATCAGCCCGGCTGCACTTGCCACAGGCTACCATCCGGAGGGGGGGGTCAATTGGAGAGCTGCAGGAGAGCTTCCACCCCGAGAAGCCCGCAGACCCAGCCCAGTCTTCCCCATCGGGGGCGCGTACTCCATTCCTCCCTCACCTCCTTCCACTTACCCTTCCCTAGCCCCCCTTCCTGATGTACAAAATAAAGAAAACGTGTGTTCAAAA